ACTGTTTTAGTTTTGGTCACCACGAACTGTAGCAGATTTTCTAGTGAAAATGTATGTATCATGAAGGTTATATGTGCGCTCTGTCAGTGCTTTGGGTCTGTCATGATCTGGTAGTTAGGATTCTCGATTCGCAATTTGTGGGTCACGGGTTCAAATTCCGCCACCGAACGTGCTCGCACTTTCAGACGTCGAACGTATTATGAGATGGTCAATCCCATTGTTTGTTGGTAAAGAGTAACCCAAGAGTTGGCGGTGGGTGTTGTTGACTAGTTGCTTTTCTTCTAGTCTATCACTGCTAAATTAAAGGCAATTAGCGCAGATAGCCCGAGAGTCGCTTTGCGCGAAATTCAACAGCAACAAAAAAATAAGTGTCCTGTATTCGGACGCCACCTAATCTACAGTTTCAAGTTAGCACAAATAAAATGCGGCTGTAATAATTTCTAAACCACTATTTCATTCAGCTGTTTGTATATAAACAAGTATTGAGAATATAATGATGTGAAGTATTTATATATAAGAAAATACATACATAAATATATATATAGAGATACACCACTATATTCATACATCGGCTAGTTCAAGCAGATAGTTAGAAAATAACATTGTGGTTGATTTTTTCTCGTTTCATAGACTCTTTCACATGAGGCCTATCGCATGTGTATAGCAGCATATTCAAACCTATCGTGTTTGTGGATCACGTGTTGCTTTTAGTACTGGGCATGTATTGTTTTGTTTAAAATTAGGAAAGAATTTAATATATTAGTTATTACTAACGATAAATTAAATAAAGAATAACTTGAAGCTTAACAAATGTCATACTGCAAAGATTTTGGTGAGTCTTCTTTCAGTATTTATAGACTTTTGTCATAGTCTGTGTTAAATCAAAATTAAAAAGTTCGTGACACGGAGTAGGCTTTAGACTTTAGTTTTACGACTGGAATTGGAAACTTATCTACATAATCAAAGCCTACAAGGATCCAAAACCGTCAAATATTAGTGCTACTAGCACATAGCCCGTCAAAATGACAGGGCAAGTACTACCACCCCTACCTCATAGTATACCCTAACCTCACAGTTAATGGCTAACTGAAATATATTTTGCGAAATCAATAAAGACTAAAGAAGCAGAAAAGTGCAGTCGAGGTAGTCAAACGTTTGTAAATTCCTTTGTTAGCCAATTAAAATTGAGATCATTCATTAAATGAATTTATAGTGTATTCATAGAATAATTATTGGTAAAAATCAGTTAAAATAACTTCTAATATTTAGAAAAGCCAGTGCGTTTTGGTAACACAACGTTCCAACGATGGGTTTTATGTCCTGTTTCTTAACAACAACGGTATAACCTAATAAATATATTGTTGTTACTCATTGTACTGAAAGTATAAAACGAAATGTACAGACGACAAAATCGGAAAAAATAACTTGATTTCATAATTTAGAGACTACGCTGATTAAAGAGGCTTGCTTTTTATTAAAAACGCTGGTGATAACACAAAATAGCTTAATTCGGAAACGATTTAAGTTTGAAAATTGAATTGAAAATTTTATTTTCATGATAAATTTTATGAACTTGGCTCTAGGCTAAGTGATCCCACACTATGTCTTTACTTTAGGCTTATTATACCAACATTCACTACACTTTTAAGGTTTCATGGCACACACTCATGGGCCCCCTTTCACCCCCATCACTAAAATCGTAATGGGCAGACAATAATCAAACTATTCAATCTGGATAAATGCATCTTGGCCTTTAATTTTTTATGACTCCTATTTTGAGAAGTCAAGTGTGATGTGACACACACTGGGTCTTATATACATTAGATTAAATTTTGAAAACCTGTACCATAAATAGTTATGCATATTATATATATACCAGTATATGAATTTATCTCCCCAGATGAAAAAAAAGTGTGTACAGTGTTTCTTTTATTGTTGTTTCACTTCTTGACATTACCCTTCATAACAGAGCAAGTACTTGTGATAAATGCTCTTTTAATGCTGTGTAGCATAGGTAGTTTTTTAATTGGCTTTTCAGTTTTCATTCTGTATAAATTCTCTCTCTATCTTAATATATATATATATATATTTAAATTTTATTTTTTTAGTAATCGATTCGATATATATAAGTAACTTATTGATCGTCTTGCTGTTTAAATTGTGTAGTTTAGGTTTGTCATGTCTGATCAGTATGTTTTCTTGTTTGGTATTCTGTCATCCCCACTGGAAGTTTGACAAATTACACCCTATATAAACATATAATTCTACTTGTAGTCTTAACATTTCTAGTTTGAACTTAAGTTAGAAATAAATATTTGGTATGTTCTTGCAGTTACAAGTATGAAAAAAAAGATAAGATTGAAAGGAAGTTAGTATTAAAGAGTAATACAACTATTCAGCTTATGTAGTACTAGTAGAACAGATGTTCATTGAATATACTTGCAAATGTAGGTTTAAGATAATTTTAGTAGAATAGTGAACTGAAGCCTGTCTAGTAAGAAAGACTCATGTCAACACATATAACTCTGTATCTGACAAATATATAATGAAACAATTATATTTTATATTGAATTATGATCAAAGCAAGCCGCTAATAGTACATAGATCAGAACTAAAAATCAACCTAGGAATGAGTAAAGCTAATTAAGTATACTGTTCTTTTATTCTTCCTCAGAATGCATTTATTTCAATTAGTTGGATACTCTTGCTGTTAGCAATATTTTTATCTATAATTCCAGTAATAGTTCATGATGTTCACAAGCTGAGGAGATTGAGATTAGTTCTAAATCCATTAACCAAGCTAACAATGCAAAATAATATTCATAATGTTAATAAGAAATAATAGAAGTGTATATATAAAATATTTTAACAAATACTGTTAGTGAAAGTAAAATTATAGACAGTATAGTGTATACTTTTGAGAACGTACAAGAGGGGAGGTGAATTAATTTCTTTTCACATTGAAGAGAATGTATGTTGTGATTTGTTGATAAATCCAAAAGCACTGATTAACACATCAAACCAATTGTCAAATGTGCAAGTTGATGTAGCCTCAACTTCTCGAATTAATAAATGATAAGTTTTAAAACGATTAACTTATGTTAGGATTATTGGATAAGTAAAGCGTTGGTATTTTTAAGCTGTGTCTGTGTAAATTTGAATAATTTATTCATGGACTTTTCTTCAGTAATATCTTCTAGTACAATTATTTCTGATAGTGCTTGAAAGATCATTGTACACAACTGTGTTTATCTTGCTAATAACAAAGAATGATAAGGTGTATACCTTAGAAAACACACAAACATTAGTGAAAAGGGTTTACACATTATCAGTCCTAACTTTGTATCTTAATTTTCTTGATAAATGAATTTTTACTTTGTTCAGATAAATATTGTTCATTTAATAAAATTGTGATTAGGACATCAGTTGTTTATGTATTAAAGTGATTTTTTATTATTTGATCAGTTAAATAACTGAAGAGTGCAGTAACTTCTGACGGGTTAACCCAAAAAAACAATTTGCAATAAGACTTCTTGTTTTTTTATATCCCATTCACAACTTTGTATTGTTGCATCCTTTTAATATATTATAGTTAACTTCATATCAAAAATGATACTTGTAAGTCTGCAGACTTCAAAGTGCTAAAATCTGGGGTTTTATAGATCTGGGCTTTTATAGACTGTTTTAGTGTGAATCAAATATTTTAAAAATAAACTAGGAACATCCATTTTCTTCTAGGAAAAGACAAAGTAATATTTGTTTCAAAGGAAGATCATGAAACACCAAGTAAGGTGTCTTTACCACACAGCACAGATGATGAAGTACAGGGTAAGTTAAAAAAAATTGGTGTTTAAGAGGTGTATTTCTATTATGTTGGAAGATAAAGTATATTTTCATAATACACTTGATAAACATGCTTGTCCTTCACATTTCCTACATTCTAGATTATTCTTTACTTTCATACAGTAATATTTCCCTTGTGTGACGTAATAGAGACCTTAGTAATGACAAGATTAATATACTTAGATTTGTATTATTAAACAACCATTACTTATGATATTATTGAATGGCTTATAGAAATATTTTTGTAAGCTATATTTGCTAATTTAGATTTTAGCTAGAGGGCACATGAAATTAAGGTCTAGATGAGCATGTTAGTTATAAATACGAATAAGCAGTTTTTTTTTTTAAAGTATCAGTTAATGAAGTAGCCATTTCAGTAGAGATTGAGAATTCAGTGTGTAATCAGTCAAATAGTTCAGTGTCACAAAATTATTGTTTATTCTGTTTTGTTATTCAGTGAGTTATGTGTTCGTTTATCCGTCATTGATTAAATTAGGTGTATGTTCTGCACTTTATATTGAAATGTTGTATCTGAAGTTAGGCCTATATAAGTATATTTAGTTGTGGAGTTTGTGTTAAAAGTTAATTATGATCTTGGGCCTACAACTTGTATCAGTGTGAACATAGCCTGTTGAAACATTATAAAAAGTGTAAAGTAATATGATATTGTTAAGTGGAGAAGATCTTACATTATTTTTATGAAGTAATCCAAAAAAAAAACACCCAATGATAGATCATGTTACAATAATAAGTGTTCCAACCACAACTGTTTTCTCAGAGGGGGATCTGATTAATGTATTTAAAATTGTTAAGGAAACTGATAGTATTGATGCATCATTTTGATTTGCACTAGGGGACACAAATATAAATTTTGGCAGGATAGGAATCATCTTCAGCTAAGACAATTTTACTTTTATAACAGGGTGATTGGCTTTTGATGTGTGTTGCTTTCAGATGTGAAGGAAGCAGTAAATGTAAAGGAAGGCTCGATAAATATTTGAATGATAAGGGCTGATCTCTTTTATATATATTATTTTAGTGGATCTGACAGTCCAGAAGGACCTGCAGTTCCCCCATTGTCCTTAAATGTTATTTATGTATGAATATTTGTGTTAACTGAAAAAAAAGGTAAACATGTAAAGGATGCAACACTGAACCCTGTATACAATGGAACTGTGTAACGGATATAACACTGAACCCTATAGAGAATGGAACCGTGTAAACTATATAATACTGATTCCTGTAAAGAAAGAGACTGCATAAAAGTTACAAGAGTATTAAAAAATTATGAATTTTAAAATGAAGTAGGGATCTTGCTACAAAAAGTACTGAAACAAGAATTAAAACAACAATCACAAATTTATAAAACTTAATCCCTACTTTGGTAGCTTTATACACTTATCTTGTTTGTTTACTTTTTATGTCTTACCTGTATGAAGTATATACTTTACCTTTAGAAACTGTTGCATGTCTATCCATTGATATTTAGCACCATCTATTGGGTTGAAACAATAGTTAAGTACGTGCATGATATGTTTACAATTTATATTATACCTGTTTACATATGGATTTTTATTGGGAAGGGCAAAAGCAGAAGACCACCATTGAACCAAGTACTGTAAGAGAATATTGGGCCAAGTGACTTCGTTGTTTTTGCTCTAGACTTTCTGATGTGAAAAGTCAGCAAACCAAAATAGTTGTTGTTTTAGAACTTTTTAAAAACATTGTACAGAGCAATTTTCAACCTTTTGCCACTGTAATTCAAGGTACAATGTTGTTTTTGTTGTCAATGTATCCCAGTAGGTTTTTCGTGAAAATGGTTTTTATAAGGCAACTTTGGGGAAAGCATTTTTTTCGGCTACCATTTTTTTCCTTATTGATCCGTATTATTAAGTACTACCATATTTAATGATAACATTGAACTCTTGGGAAATGGAACTATGTAAAGGATGTAACTTTATATAACATTAAATTATGTGGGGAATACAACACTAAATCTTTTCAAGAATGGAATTATGTGGGGACTACAACACTAAACCTTGTAAATAATGGGAATTATGTGTGGGGAATACAACACTAAATATTGTAAATAATGGGACTTGTGTGTGTAATACAACACTAAATCCTGTAAAGAATGGAATTATGTGGGGAATACAACACTAAATCCTGTAAAGAATGGGAATTATGTGGGGAATACAACAAAAAACATAAACAAGTATGTAGGAGTTTCATTTACAGTTTTATATGCTAAACATGATCCAGTACAGGTTAAGTCTTGTGTGTTGATATGTGATGAACTGGTCTTTTGTTTCTCATGTTATTGGTTTACTTTTGTGTAAGTAGTAATAAACATGTAATCATTATCGTTTCAGACATTTTCCTGTATGTTATATAATGTTTAATCTGCATATGGCTGGATCAACAGATTACCAGCAGTTTTGTTTTTTCTAAATATGTGAGAAAAAAGACATATAGTCTTGTCTCTTAAACACTTTAAACAATGCAATATTTTTTTTGTTTCATCCCAGAGTAGTCAGTTAGGGCCCGCTAACTGGAGGTTCAAGGATACTGAATGACAGAGTGCATTTCTCTCTGAACTCTCCCCAGCTTCATTGTACAGAAATGCACAAATACAAAACAAAACACAAGGGCAAGTGTGTTTAGTGGGAGTGTAAAACTGGCAAGAGATATGTGAAAAACCTTTAATAGGTTCGAATACCAGTTCATTGTGCTTCCCCTTGTAAATTTCATTTAAGTCAAATTAAAAGTAAAATAAAATGAATCAGACAAGTTAAACTAAAACAGAAAATGAAAAGAGAGTATACCCTAAGTAACATGTAAAAGCTCTCAAAATATAAAGCTAATTTTCTTACTCTGGGCAAGCCTAGTTCTACATACAGAATCAATATTAAGAATAAAAAGACCTGCACATAGGCCCACCAGGCAAAAAGAGTGTGGCAACTTCTAGCTATTACCCGATTCACTGAGAAGGAAACAAACTCTTTTTTTACAACATTACAAATTATTGTTCTTGTACGAGAACACAGAAAATAGCTAATTAGTGAATACACATGCAATACATAGTTGAGTCACTTAAATGTTTCACTGTGTCCAAACCGAGAAAGATGAAAAACACTTTTTTTTTCCCCAAAATGCATGAGTTACAGTATCCTAAAAGTACGAAAAGATGGTTTTTATTGGTCATCCAAATAACTGAAAAGAAAAACAGCTTAAAACATGTTTAACATAGAAATGCTGTGCCAAGCAGAATAAAATTATAACACTTTCAGATATTCTTACTTTTTTCAGGACTCATTTTACCTAATGGGGAAATAAACTGGAGCTGTCCTTGTTTAGGTGGGATGGCAACAGGGCCATGTGGACCCGAATTTCGAGAAGCTTTTTCCTGTTTTCATTATAGCACAGCTGAACCTAAAGGAAGTGACTGTATTGAAAAGTTTCAAGACATGCAAGAGTGCATGACAAAGTATCCAAGATTATACCCTGTAGATGATGATAAAGAACTATTAGATGATAATACTAAAAATGATAGCATGTCAAGTAGCAATACAGAAGAAAACCAATCAAATACTGATAAAGAAAGGACAACTTTAAAACAGTAAATTATATATGAATATTAATGTATTTTGAAGAGTAGGTTAGACCATTGTTGAAATAAGAATCAACATAATCATTTATTTGTGGTACTAGTGTTTTGTATAAATATGTCTTGCATTGACATAAAGGAATCACCATTAGTGTATGTAATTTTTTTTTCTTGTAGAAATAGTAATGTAAATAAAATATTGATCAATTTTAGTGTTTACAAGTATGAATATGTTGAGAAGTTTATGTGAAATACGGAAATTAAAGTAAGACCCAAATTTACAGGCTTTGTGATTGTAATCTGACAGTATTAGAAAAATATTAATATTTCCAAAAGCCTCAAAACACGAGTCATAATTGTGTAGGTTTTAGTCCTAACTCTCTATTTCAAGCATAGTTATTTCTCATCTTCGACCTAACAATTAAGGATTTTCTTTTTACTCTAGCCCTTTAGAATGATAAATTTGGCCTGTTAGAATTAGTTGGGTGTTTCGTGTATTTTATTTCTTTAATTATTTGTGCATTATTACTGTTTTTTATAAACTTGCACAAAGTACTTCTTCAAAACCTTTCTTATGTTGTAACTGAGATTATCCATGTGTCATGGCCATAACAAGTGCCTGCTTCAGGGCATATGTATGATAACTACAATCGAGAACAGCCTGTAAAATGTGTAGTCACAGAACCAATTTTTTTGCTGTTCATTTACACTAAAATTCAGTTCTTAGTAAATGAGGAGCAAAAAAATTTGTTTCTGAAACTACACGTTTTACAGGTTCTATGAGCAGTTACACGGGTTTTTAACATGTTTGCTGCCATGTGCTCCACCGATGGGTCACATATTACAAGTGGCTTCAGTGAGCTAATTAAACACAGTATAGTTACCCATATAAATATTAGACACCTGGATTCATTAAAAAAAGAAAACTGTGGTTGGAACTAGGGTAGGAATTATTAATACTACTGGTGGCAATAAACGTGTTAAGGTTTGTTTCAAGTTCTGTAAATCTGTGCAACTTACCTCTGTAAAGATTCCTGCAGAAAAACCAAAAGTTTATCTGTGGTCTGTAAAACCTTTTAAAAAAAATGTCAGAGCTCGTGTTGGTACTTTTACTTTTGTATTATTTTCATTAACAATAGCCTTATACAATTAAAATGGGTGTTTTTCTAGGTTTTTTATTACAGTATTTTCTATTATCACATAATGCAAATCACAATGGAACTGCTGTGACAGTTTGAATTTAATAATACAATTTTCTACCAACATTGAAAATGTGTTTACAACTTGCTCTTAGATCTTGCAATAATATTTGAATAATTAACTCAGTAAGTAAATCCATTGATTTACTCATGAGTGTACTGAAATTGTTACAATTAAGTGACTTGGGTAATCACTCAAATGAGCTGATAATTCCAATCAAAACTATAATTACCATCTCGTTGTATACGTCCCTCTGTGTTAACTTTCTTAGTTTAACAAGTTGATGGCTATGCACACACAGTTACAACAGTTCAAGTGTATTTTCAGTGTTTCTTGAAAATAAAATAAATTCCAGGGTGTTGAAAGAATATCCATAACGCATGAAATAAAATGTTTTAAAGATCTCGTGGAAATTTTGCCTTGAAGCTGTAGAGAAATGTAGCAATTAGTAACAGAAATATTTGTCATAGTTAGTAGCCTATACAATCATGTAATTACAAATATTAATTAGTAACAAAAAATAGTTGCTAATTAATAATTACATAGGTGAAGATAAAAGCTACTAACCACGACGATCGAATTCCAATTGCCACAACTTTACTGTAAGGAAGATATCCATATATTATGTATGTGCATCGGGTGTCAATTTCTTTTTGATTCAGATTGAGAACAGTAAATTATTTGAAGCATAGTGTTGAAACAATATTACATTCGATCAAACACCACAATTTTTCATGTTGTTACACTACTCCTTACCATGGTCCACCAACTACAGATAAAAGTTATTAATATCAACAAATGTACTTGGTTAATTTGTTGGACTAATTGAGAAGAAGCACTATGGATCGGTGACTATGCTTAAATCATATTTGTTTCTCTTTTTTTTTTATAACCTATACTTATATATTATTGAGCCAAAAGTTCTTTATGAGCTGTTACTGTATTTCTGAGCTGCATGACAGTTTGTTTCTGTTGTTATCATATCTAAAAATATACATGAGGAAAAAAACTATATTGAAAAATGCAAAATGTCACCATTATGGTCAATACTGACATTCATTGAAGAAGCACCATGAAATTGGAAGTTAGGTGGAGAAGGGGCAATGTACCTGGTAGTGTCTACTTTGTACTATATCCATGATTGTAATAAGGTAGCAACGTCATTGTTACTGTCTAAACTACCCTGTTCTGAGATTGTACTTTTGCTTCCAGAGAATCTGTTTTCAACATCCATTTTAACAATTAAAAATGGAACGCAAATAAAGCAAAAACTGATTTACAGGTTACAAACAGAAAATGTGACTTTTCTACCAGAAAACAACGTATTCTACTGAATACACAATTCAGAATAAATCTGTTGGAGAAAAGCAAAACAGCATTTCCATTGCCATTCTAGTGAGCACCGATTGTATTACATGATGACATGTGAATAAATTCAAGTTAAAAATATGGCAAAAAATGGTTTGCTCAAATTAACAAAAGTTACCAGCATGAAAGCATTAATATCAAGGTTAACACAGTATATAGTTTTTTTTTTACATACATATTGGTTTCTGAAGGACCAGAATATATTAAAAGACTTCAAAATCTTAACATTTTTTTTTTTTAAAACAAAAAGTGTGATTTTTGAAGAAGATAATGTTTATCTGGGAAAAAAAATTAGACAATTATGAATAAGTACGTTTTTTCTTTGTAAAAGTTTAAATGTCTCAAACCTGATTTTAACTTCTGATGACTTCGACTCCAGTTTATTTTTATTGTTAAATCGAAGCTTTTGATATGCACCTCAAAACTACTACCAACTTAAAACTGGTTTAACTTTTAATAATAAGGATTACAAATACATTCATAAATAATAAATAAACACTAATTATTGTTAAACAAAATACAACAATAACTACAGTAAAATGATATCAAGAACAATTTCTTTTCAAGAGTAGCACAGAACATACATTAATAGTTTTTTACTATGTTTCCTTGTGAAGTTACAAACTGTCGCACTTGTTGATATGCTTCCTGGAGATTATCTAAGAAAAAGTAAAATAAACATTTTGTTAGCGACAGACTGATGTTGAAATGTTTGGGATATAGAACAATGGACAATCTTTTTTATGCACAACATAACTAGTAGTATACATAAATTAAATGATAAGAAATTTGTTGGTTATGGATATGTTGTTTTGTAAAAGACAACGAGAGCCAAACATTCTAACGAACAGCCTCGTGAAAATAAAATTTATAAAAACAAATATATCGTTGTTGAAAAATTTTAATGATTCGTATCTTACAAACAAGTTACTGCTATTTTGAAAACACTTTCTTACTGATTTGTTTTATAAATTTTGAAAAAGTTAAGACACATTAGAATATTTAATGCAACCTACTAACCAGTGTTTACTACAACTGCAAACAATTTTGGATAGTCTTGTTGGTATTTCTGGTATGTGTGTCTTCGAGATATTGCCCACTGAGAGTGGGTTTCATTACCTTGTAGCTTGTTAAGCTGAAGTCTATGAATGCTTTCACTTTCTGGGAAAGCCAAGATCAGTATAGGTTTAAGATGACTATACGACAGAGACAGAGCCCCCTAGTGATACAGAGTTAAAGACTAATGAAATATACCCGTAATAATATATATGTATATATAACAAAAACTATCAAAATTATTCTCACTTTATTTAGCTAGATACTGCTGAAAGAATTTTTCTAATAGTGCAAAAGGAAAATGTGAAACCAAACAGAAGATAACTATGAATTCTGAAACAATATAATAGGTTTGTGATGATATGTAATTAAAATTCATAGCAGTAACATTCAACCAAACTGGGATTTATGAAATAATATATCACAAAAGACTGTCAATCCTGAAGTTTAACCATGTTTTATGACATAGAACTACTAGATAGCTTATTAAAAACTGTTCTTTAAGAGAAAGATCAGAGCACTTCCTCTGTATTCAATTATAGTAACAGGGTAAACTCTTAATCACACATAAAATTCAACTGTTTAACCTCTTGTGCAATAAATTATATGCATGTGCAATTTTAACAAATATTTAACGGGAGAATTTTAATTCCAACAACACAGTAATTCAACATGTTCAAGTGTATTTTACTTCTAACTTTGATAATTTCTAGAAATGCAGGTGAGAAATAATGAAAATGACCCAAACTTGGTAATTCAATTATTATATAAATGTTATCAAAGTTAACCTACAGAGTGATATAAAGCAAACTGTTATATACGTTTTCTAAATAAAACCTTTGTCAGTTTTAACAAAAACAGCCTACACTTACTGTAAGTGATTTACATGAACATACCTCTAGTTCCATTGATCCCAGGCAACATTTTTTTTCACTTGCTACATTGTCAATAGCATTCCAAGTTAGCCCATATTTTTCTCCTTCTGGACTCTGCCAAGTTTGAAGAAAGCTTCCCTACAAAGATAGAAAAAAGTAAGAACACAGGGAAAATGAAACTACATTATATGTCAAATAAACAATCTTTTTGTGTGTGTTATAAAAAAAAAGCTGCTGAAAATTAGATACTGTTTTAATAAGTTTAAGAATCTTTTAAGCTGCATTTTCACCCAAAATTTGTCTTAGTGCATAAAAGTTGTAAACAGAAATATTTTACAGTGTTTATTTAAGAATTCAACTAAATAAGTTTTAGTTCAACAACTTAAATCTGGTTTCATAAGTAGAATTTACTATGATACATGTACGTTTGCAAAATTGTAAAGATTTTCCCCAAAAATATTCATATTTGCATAACTGTTGTAATTGTATACAAATTAGAATAGGAACCTTTAGTGACACTACATTTTAAAAAAGTTTTCACATAATAATTGCAAATATGTTAAACTCCTATTACTAGTTACTATTTCTTTTGTTTTACAAATATACACCTATGTTATCGTTACTGGTGTAAGGTAACAAAATTGTAATCTGACGATGGAAATTGGCTACAAAAGTAAATATCATTAATAAAATTGTTTTACTTTCAACTTTGTTACCAACATTAACTGAAGAAACTTTTCTTACTGTTAGGTAACAGTAATTCTTATCTTACCTTCAACATTAGATCTCTAAATTCAGCAGAACTTACAAAATAGTACTTCCGTTCAGTTATTTTCTCTCTTTTGTTTCTAGTAGTGTGAGCCACCCTGTAAAAAACAGTTAGTTAGACAGTGATAGAAACTGACAAGTTTATATGACTTATGAGACAAGGAAATAAAAGAAATATGATTAAATATTCATTACACCAATCGGTAAATTTATGTATATTTTTTAGGTTTATATGAGCCAAGAATGTAAGATAATAAAAAAAATTCATCATTTCTTTATAAAGTTTACTAATGATTATTTCAATTAAACTGTTAATATTAACTACAGACTGTATAATTATCACAACGAAGATACAAGATTGGTAGAGGTAACAAAGACAAGAATAATGAATGAATTAATAATTCTTTTTTTTCTATATTCCAAATTAGAAACAATGGCTGGTACTTCATATCTTTAATAAAATGATACAAAACCTTACCAGATATCTGCACTTCTTCAATCTAAATCCTTAGACGTCCATATTTTCTCATTTGAAACAATAACATTAACTAAGGAAAGTACTTATGTTTACAAGTCACTTTAATTTCACAGAGTGAACCATGTTATAATTAGTACTTCAGTAGCTTGTTTTTTTTTTTACCAATCTAATAACTGTTTTTGATAGTCGGCAATGAGTCAGTCCAAAACGAGGCACAATGATTAAATAGTATCATGAATTACTGTTTTTTTTTTACAAGTTTTATTTTAGCTGTAAAACCACTTTGCTTGGAACTTATAAAACTAGTTTTAGTATATATTTCTTTGTTACTTTCAAATTGTGTCTTTCATCAATTTTCTTTTTAGATAATTTTGATAAGATTTCTGGAATAACAGCTACAAAAACATCCGAAACAGATTTACACAAATTGAATAAACCACTACGGCTTCATAAATTATTTTCCTTAACAAGATGCAGAAACTTTATTATTATTTTTTAAATTATTATGTTCTTAAATCTGCTTTAAAAGTCACTGAAAAAATCTCAAGTAAATATAGTTAAGGCTGGTATTCATAGAAGATCATTGAAATTTACTAAGTTTGTCCAAAGTACTTCTAATATAATTTCTACTTTGGGTAATGGAAAAATAACACCTGAAAGCACACTATTTTTTTATGGCTTACAAAGTTTTAGAACGTTTATTGTTACAGGGTTTTTTTGATAAAATATGATGCATATAAAACATAAGATTGTGTATGTTAAAATGAACTTTATAAACACTTAGGAAACAAACAATATACATAGATTTCACACTTTTTTTCACTACTTTTAATTAATGTCAGACATTAAATCTGATATTTAATTTTGTGAATAAACACATTCACTTATTTTACAACTCTCTTAAAATAAATTAATACCATAATTTTATAATTATTTTATTTGAATCAAATTAAGTGTGGTTGAAACAGTTCAAAAGATCAATACCTGTATTCATATCCTTTCACAGAATTTGAGTCTAACTTACCTTACTGTACATAATTAATAGATACACATTATAAAAGATTTTAAATACGAGGTTTTAATAAGTTAGAAAGACAGATATATCTTACAGATAGCCAAAATCTTTAGGAAATTCTTCCAGCAGCTTTTGAACAATATAAGATTTTCCTGATCCTCGTGGGCCTACCACCAACAAAGTAGGATAAGGCTTATCTGTGAGAAAGCTGTTTTAAAATAAACATTTATTATTGACCCTGTAAAAACTTTCCATGATTCTAATTCTTCTTCAAAGATCCATCCTAATTGAAAACATCTAAAATTAAAGAAATCCTACACTTTTCACTAAACAGAGCAGATTATTTTACTTACAGATTTTTCCTAACTCAATAAAGTATCTTAACTTGTATTGTTTCTCACTGAAACCACAGAACTTTTATTTCATGTAAAATGGAACTGTTATAACCCAAAAAGTTACAGTTAAGGTAACATGACAGAGAATTACTGCCATAAAAAGCCTAAGATACAAATTAAATATAACTTTATGAATCCTATAAAACGTTGCACAACTACAAATGTGGTATATTGAGCACATAAAAAAAGGGTACCCTAGTGGGTCAGTGATAATATTATCGACTTGCAATGCAAAATATAGGGTTTGATTCCCCATGGTGGAAAAAGTGCAAATAGCCTGTTGTGTAGCTTTGCTCTAAGAAAAGAACAACACAAGAATGGATAATACAAGTAATCTATTCTTAACAAAAGTATGTGTATGAAAAGGAACACAAGAAGATACCAACATATTTCTAACTGGATTGTCATAAAGCATGGCTGATTTATTTACTTTTGTGACAAATTTGTCATCAATTTATGCATATAGTCAATAATATGTATAAAAAAATATTTTAAAACCCCCAAATTTTTAATTTTTTAACACAAGAAGATACCACAGACATATTTCTAACTGGATTGTCATAAAGCATGGCTGATTTATTTATTTTTGTGATAAATTTGTTATCAATTTATGCATATAGTCAATAACATGTATAAAACAAAAATTTTAAAACCCCAAAATTTAAAGTTATAGACAAGAGGCCAAAGTTTTCAAGGATATGTAGTACAAAGAAGCATCCTTTTAAGGAGCTTCTTCCTACTCTCTTTTTGGCACAGACAACAACGTCTTGCCTGTTCATGTGAAACAGACTGTTCTTGCAGAACTCTCAACTTATAGTGTACTCAGGACAGCCTGCACTTCTTTCACCTCCTGTATTAGGAATCTTAGGTTTTGGAGCTGTTTAGCTATTATGTGTTCTGATGATATAAACCAAAATCTGTTGGATGACACGTGGTGCCATCAATGATCCTACCTGCAGTAGCAGGATTGTTTGATTTCATAAAGTTGAACCACTTTTGAATCTGTATGACGATTATAATTTACCTAGAGCATTGTATTTACATTTTTTTGTATAGTGTTATTAGTATCACAAACATTAAGGTAAACTAAATAACTCCTATCTATGAATTTCTTTCCAAAATTAGTTGAGTAAGTATGTAATTGTCAAAAAATGGCATTTTTAGAGATGGAAAGGGGTCAATGTTTTAAGCATGGAAGTAGGGGTGGGTTATATTTCTACATGTACAGTAAAATTGAGGTTTACTGTTTTGTAATAGCAATTTCCAACCCCCCTGCCTCCCTGAAAAATAATCACCACTCCCTAATAACTAGAAAATCTTTGGAAGTAGGGTAACTTATTTAAACATTAAAATATTTGGTAAAATTAGAGTTGGTTGTACAGAGTATTGATTGGCTAGAAAGTCTGTTACAGTAGTTGCTTAATTATTTGACTTAGTGAGTTTTTGTAAGTTCGTCTGTTACTTCAATTTTGTGAATATTGAGTGTGTATTTAGAAAAAGAAATAAAGACACAAGAAGTACCACAGATATGAGAAAATTAGCAAATAAAGTGACTGCTTAGTATTATTTTCGAAGTTAGGCCTATTGTTAGCTACATTGAGTCTGTACCCATCATTGAACTTGTAGTTGAAGAAATAAAATGCTTTAGTTAATGCATCACATGGTCTAGACTTTGCATTATTTTTTTCAACAAATCATCCAAAATAACCTGTCAAAAAAAAAGAGAAACTTTTACAACACTGGAGTCAGAAGGAGAATTATTTTGGTAAAAATAATATATCAACACAACTACAATATAATGACACTTGCTTGAAGCAGGATAAAAAAATGTGCTGGAAATAAACAAGGATCTTTGTAAAGTTAAGGAGCAGAGTACTGAAGAAGGATGATGAGATCTTAGCTAAAAATGATGAAGATGTAGAATTACTTTCCCAATGATCTAATCAGATGCTTTATGTGATATAATGCTGGATTTATTAACACACAAGTAATCCATAAATGCCATAATAGATGAGAATATGTACATCAGGGTAAAGCAAAGTAGGTGTACATCTTTAAAGGTGACAGTCCAGTTGATGATGGAATTTGTATCGTTGAAGGTTGAAAATAAACAACATAGAACACCACCCAGAAATTATGGGATCATTAGATCAAATAGTGTGGAAGCATTGGAATTTGTATTGTTTAAGGTTGAAAATAAACAACACAGAACACCATCCAGAAATTATGGGATCATAAGATCAAACAGTGTGGAAGCATTAACACCCTCTGATGAAAGCCTGGAAGACCTTACAGGATTAATTAGACAACTGGTTCTCAGAATGTAAGAAGTAATCCACAGAAAAATAGGTGTTTCAACTGCTACTTATAAAAAAAAAATATTAACAGGAACTGTTGACAAAAGACTGTGAAAAAATATAAATTTCTCACAAAGAATAACAGAAAAAGGGGACTGCCGTAGATGTGGGAAACATAGACATTACAGCTGAGACTGTGATAAATCAACAGATAATAAAACATATGATATCCCAAGAATGAATGTGAGAGCCCAAACAAACAAACTGAACAAGAAGGAACTAACTAGCTATCTGAAAACAAGAGTTAACCAAAATAAGATAAGCATTTCATTATTCAAAAAAGCCAGTTCACGATTCTATGGATATATTGAAGGGAAGTTTTGGAACATTTTGATGGACACTAGCTCTACAGTTACTATTGTTCGACCTAATTTGGTAATTAAATCTGGGAAATTGTCTAGAAAAGTGAAAGAAGGTGGATTGGTGCAAGCAGCAAGTGATTATAAAATTCCAGCAAGAGGAACATTACAAGTTCCCTTCATGGTGTGAAGCTTCTCTGCACAATATGATGTATTTATAATTAACATAGAGAAGAGTGTATACAGGGAATAGACCTTGTGTAGGAACACAGATGTAAGGTTAGACTTGCTCCAAATATTTTCACACGAAATCCCTGTGCAGGACACAATAAATATACCACAAGGGAATGAATGTCTAGTTACAACAAGCACAAGATAATAACCAGAACTAACCTAAAGTGCAACAGACCATAATCCAGAAAGGTGTTTCAAGCCAAAAATCATTCATCATATGATTGTAGAGACTGTTGACTGATTAGTGAGTCTGTTATATTGGCTGAATGATTATTGGTTTAGAGTTAATTAGTTGGTTTGCCTGTTACTTCAAATTCCAGAATACACGTATGAGAAGTATCATAGGTATAAGAAAATTAGCAAGTGATTGTTTAAAATTAGTTGTGAAGTTAGACCTATTGTTAATTACATGCTATACTAGTTGATAATATGTGCACCAGGGTAAGAGCACTTCTTTAAAGGAAACTGTCCAGTTGATCATGGAACTTATAACATTTAAAGTTGAATATAAACAACTTAAAACACCATTCAGGAATTATGGGATCATCAGATCAAATAGTATGGAAGCATCAACTCCCTCTGGTGGAAGCCTAGAAAAACCTTAAAGAATTAATTAGACAACTGGTTCTCAGAATATAAGAAGTAATCCACAGGAGGCAGAGTTGTCAATACTCAGTCAAAGTAGCCCACTTCTTCACAGATTTTGTTCTTCTTTGGATTCAGCTTGAACAAAAGCTTAAGCCCATCAAGGTGACAAAGTCATATATATGTCATATTTCTCTAAGTCACTCTTCTTATTTTACTGAAGTTTCTATATGATGTAAAACTTCTGCTTAAAATCCAACATTGTAATCAGTACCACCCTATTTTCATTGTACACAAAAAGAAAAATTCAGAATGAAGAGAGTAATATGTACCTTGCACGAAGCTTAGCAGGCTGTAAATAGGACAAGATTATATTTGTAAGGTGGTCAGTAGAAGCTTGCAAATCCACAGGAGGCTGTACCTTATTTTTTGTTAAAACCTAGAAGACCAGAAAGATCATTTATTAATCAAATATCAATCTCAATTTACTTCTTACACATTAAAACATTGAAAAATCCATACTAACACAAAACATTTTGCTTAAGCTGAAACAATTATTAATAATTTGGATAACAGATTGAAACATGAGTAAGTTTTAAGCATGAACAAATAGAACACAATAGGTCAATGAAAGAAAGAAGTACTGTTCACAGGCATACAAATATATGTCAGCACATACAAGCACAGTATTTGGGAGTAATTTAAACAAATCAACAGCTGTTTAGCCACAACAATTATGGAATTTAATTGGTGTTTCAGGAGATAATTGAATCACAAACTAGATAATACAAGGTTACTGATGTCTTGTTTTACTATTATTCAATTTTAGATTTCTTCAATATTAAAAATAGACATTTTTATAACAGCTTTATTTTACACCATGTTTAACTGGAAAGTCATGGTTATGTTTCCTGTAGTGTTGAGCTTGTTCTGGGAGTGCTTCTGGACCTTTAGCCTCTAGCAAAAAAACTATCAAGCATTTTTTTAAAAATTGTATAAGTATTACTTTATAGAGTGTATGATGTAAGTAAATCTTGATTGCTGTGTAAAACATGCTACTAAAGCAAGCAATATAATTATATGTACTATGATGTCACATTTGTGACTTGTTAGAAAAATCCTTACATTTTTGCCTAAAGTGAAATGTTACACAATAAACTGTTGCACCGTGTCCACTGCAGGAACTGAACCCCAAGTTTTAGAGTTATAAGCCCCCAAACTTTCCAATGAACTATCAAGGGTTAGGAAAACCTCACAACTGCCAATTACATCTGACAAAAAACAGAATAACAGTTTATCTTTTAAATTCACATATGAGTTGTTCCAATCTTCAATAAGCTGTCTAACTGAAAACCTGAATATACCTTATCTGTCACAGTTAACCTAGTACCATCTAGCCATCTCAGCTGAGGCAGAGTTGTCAGTACCCAGTCAAAGTAGCCCACTCTTTCACAGATTTTGTTACTCTTCAGACTCAGTTTGAATAAAAGCTTAAGTCCACCAAGGTGATGGAGTTGCAACAAATCTAACAACTGTAGTAAAAAGAAGCATTTAAGAGTGTATTTAATAAATACACCAAGTTTTCAAAATGACATTTCTAAATACTATATTTAAAAGTTGAGACATGCTAGGCATTTGGTATTTACACTTACAGTAGTATTTATATTAAAATAATAAAAAATGTACATAAACAGAAAGTATTAATTTACTAACACATGCATTATATTAGAAATAAAATAAAATCACTAAAATCAATAGTTATAGCTGTCAAATACTCTGAGGAACTGAAAAATAGAAAAGTTACATAAGGAGCTACTCTTTCGTGGGATTTTTTTAGTAGGATAAACACTTTCTGAATTGAACCTGAGGCAGGATGTGTTGCTTGTATATTATAATGGGGATAGATGAGTACACAGTTAACAATTTTCTTCTTTATTCATCTTCAGTATGTATACATGAAACCAATTGCGTTCCTATGAAAGAGGCCCAGGGTTGGAGGAAATGACATACCCCACAATCTCCCAACCTTGCAGCAATATTTAAAGTAAAACATATTTCATATTTTTAAATTTTCCCTGAAATCTTAAGTTATTTTGAACTCTTAGCATCATGAAATAACTTACTAGGTAATGCTTTTATTAAATAGAAAAAGATACACAGTATACAAGGACTCTATATACAATTTACTTGTTTTTACAGTGTCTTTCCTAATGGTACTTCAACACCTGAATTCTCACAATAACCAGAAACTTCCCCTACACCTGTTTCACAACATTAAAATATCCTCTTGTTTCAATCTAACGAGAATGGACAGTTTGAGCAATAAATAACCTATTCTAACTGGGGACTGACTCACCTGAGAATCCCTCTCTCTAACATCCTACAGCTCTAGAAGGAATGATTCCCTCCCATCAATAAACTATATCTAAGAAAGAGCTATTATGAATATTTTTTTTAAAAAGCTCAGGTAGAGCTTTTTCTTAATATTACACTCCAATAATTAAACTTCAATAACTTAAGATTAAAGTAAGAAGACAGAAATGAATCTCCAGTATCAAAGAGCTGTGGAAAATCCAAAGTGATTTATTATCTCCAATAGACCAGAAGGACATCCAACAACAAATTCTCTGAAAGGTTCATAGTTAAATCTTATATTATATTCAAATATTTACCAGAAATATATATTTCATTTAGTCTATGCAGTGTCTTCATAGTCTAGAAATTTAATGAAACTAAAATCACCTGATTGTCTTCCAGTTGTAAAGATGATAAAGCATAGCAACTGTTAATGCTCTCTAGGCTAGAAATCTGATTGCAATTGAGATTTAGCTCCTGTTGATCAGAAAATAAAAAAGTACACAGAAATCTTTTTCTTTCAAGTTTTGATGACCCAAGAAAGCACATCCAAAACTTTAATACCCCCTACAAATTTATTTTTAATAAGAAATTCACTTGTTAGTAATTTTGTAAAAATTACAAAAATGCAAACAAACTTCCATAAGAAACAAGGTAACATAAATATCAAAGTTCTTTTTTACAATTAAAAATATTTCAACACAATAATTTTCAAACGTCTGATGCTTTTCTTGTTCACAAACTGCCGAGATATATTAATGCTACTTGAAATAATACAAACTGTATCAATTTTTTTTCCACTGGTTGTAAAATGACTTCTTTGTGTTTATATTTTGTTCTCTCAACATAAGAATTACAAATTGTGGCTACAAGGAAACACGTAGCCCAGTCTAACCTTAGATTCACCACTTGTTACTAATATATATTAGTTTCAAGGAATTCAACCCATCATCAGTAACCAAGGACATCATGTGGTGTTGGACAATTTCATTATGTACAGTATCTAAGTTGCATTTTACTAAGTACAATTTACATACATATTTTAGAACATGGAGAACAAGTTGAATGCCCATCATATGATGGGAAATTATGATTAATTTTTCTTCTCAAAATTATATCTAAATAAATGTTTTATGAACATGTTTTCTATAAATAATTATAATCTAGTAACAATACATGTATAGAGAATGACTATCCTATTTATAGTATTTCATAAAAACATATATTTGGTCATCTCCTTTAAGTATTGCTTGATTAGCATTTTGACTTCTGTATGTTTTTAAGCTATGTTCAGATGTTCTTCTTGATAAATCCTTATAGATTGAAACATGCAAGAAAACTGATTCTCACTGATACACACCAAGTAAAATGTTATAAGTATTTTTTAAACTTTTATGGCAACTCTTTCTGAAACAGAGAATATATTCTACAATAGAAACATTACAAATATTTATGAAGTTAAAAATGCATTATATAATTTAATAGCAATTGTTAAATTTTTATTGTTTTTTCAAATTAAGGGTTAAGTGTCTTTACAAAGCATTAAGAATATTAGAGTCTTTTCATCTTTTATATTTCACGTTATGTTAAATGTTGAGATAAAATATACTTACTTGGAGAAACTTTAAGTTTTCCAAGTTTTCAATGAATCTGATTTTATTGTGGCTCTGAAAATATACAAACACCTATGCTATTAATTATAAGAAAGGATAAAATACGCATGTGCATTTTGCTGTATGGTCATCTAACCTAAAACTACTCCAGAGGTCATTTTAAATAAAGTTCATTTTTCTTCAAAATGTCATAAGTATTCACAATTCAACCTCATTCACTACACTTCATACATAATTTATATGGACTATATTTGGGGAATTACAAATTGACACTTATTTAAAAGCACATTAATTTTTAATTATAAATATAAAATGTTATCGTGCAACTTTTTGAACTACCTAGTCTTTGAACTAATACTTTGTTATGCGTTCTTTATTATAAGTAATAATATATTTATTAGAAAAGTTAAGCTAAAAACTGAGAAGTTGTCTTATATTTATAACTTTCTATTATCAAGGATAAATTGTGAAATAGATTACTTATAATATCCAAGTCTAATTTTCAAATTAAAACAAAAAATTCATTAAATACCAGATTCAGCCTAACAAGAGGAAGACATTTCAGAAAAGAAACTTTTGTAAGACAGTTACTGGACAGGTCCAGATCAGACAGACTTTTGCAATTGTGAAGCCCTCTGTACTCTGAAATCTTGTTGTCTGGACTCTCAGGTTAAGGGTTCATATTTGATCTAGACTTACTCATCTTTCTCTTCTTTTGTATCAAATCATGTAACTTTAAGTAATCTTTTTTTGGCATGTTCTACTTGTGGATCAAATATTCTATGCAAAATGAAATACCATGTCATTATTACTTGTTATATATATTTGGGAAACCAGTTAACCTATTTGTTCATAAGATTTTGAAATAAGGATATCATTAATGGCAATTTAATAAATTAACCAAAAAACAGAAGAGCAAAATTACATAAAGGATACTTTTTAAAATAAGAACACACAGTGTATGAAATTCTGATAAATCTTCAATCTGACTGATATTATTATAGGAGAAGTCTGCCTTCATTAGATTCCATGGTGGACTGAAGTCCAGAAGGTTTGTTAAACAATTGTGAGAAACATTCAGTTCAAGAAGAAATGGAAGCGATCCAAGAGGTTTCAGATCTGAAATAAAAAAAAAAGTAGTTAATGTAAAATTCACACAATGATCTTTGAAGGAGTTGAACTTGAGATTAAAATTGTGTAGTTTTTGTAGTATTTATGTAATTGTCTATTAATTTCACTACAATGCATTTAAATACTTATATTTCTGCAGTATTTCTGATGAACAGGAGATCATTAAGCTAGATACACTTTATTGAATATTATTTATTGCATTTTGTATTTCTAGTCTTCATTACCTAACAGTTTCTTTATTTTATCTTTATGCTGTGCTTTGTCTAAAAGTGTTTTCATAGCAAAGTTGGTATTATAAATAGTAACCAAGAAATAAGTTCATTCATTCTTAGCCCTTTAGTTACTAAACAATGTCTGTTTAGAAGATTTAGAACTCAAAACACTTAGTCTAAAAAAATTTGCCAAGTTCCAAGAACCAGTTCTAACTTTACCAGTTAAAAAGCTAGCCCTGTCTTATCTTCACCAGTGGCACAATGGTAAAGTATGTAGACCTATAATGCTAGAAACCAGATTTCGATACACTTTCTGGGTACAACACAGATAACCCATTGTGTAGCTTTGTGCTTAACTGCAAACAAACAAAATGTTTTTAATTAAGAGAATAGCAAATTACCTATACTATTAATTAACCGAGTTCCTATATCATAAAAACACAAAATCCCTTTTTTTAATATTTACCAGTCAATCAATACACTTAAAAACCTCATAAACACAGCCACAAGACTCTGT